TAGCAAACTTCATGCGGGCTTTCATGTGTCTTGCACTGAGGAGAGGCTTTCGTCGGGCCACTCTGCCATAAAGCCCCGACTGGTGGGGGGCTGCAGTGATGGTTGACTTTCTACAACTTTCTCTCATCTCCTGACTGTATCTCTGGAGCTCAGCCACAGTCATCTTTGGGTTCTTCTGTACCTCTCTCACCAAGGCTCTTCTCCCCCGATAGCTGAGTTTGGCCGGACGGCCAGCTCTAGGAAGGGTTCTGGTCGTCCCAAACGTCTTCCATTTAAGGATTATGGAGGCGACTGTGCTCTTAGGAACCTTAAGTGCAGCAGAATTTTTTTTTGTAACCTTGGCCAGATCTGTGCCTTGCCACAATTCTGTCTGTGAGCTCTTCAGGCAGTTCCTTTGACCTCATGATTCTCATTTGCTCTGACATGCAGTGTGAGCTGTAGGGTCTTATATAGACAGGTGTGTGGCTTTTCTAATCACGTCCAATCAGTATAATCAAACACCGCTGGACTCAAATGAAGGTGTAGAACCATCTCAGGGATGATCAGAAGAAATGGACAGTACCTAAGTTAAATATATGAGTGTCACAGCGAAGGGTCTGAATACTTATGACCATGTGATATTTCAGTTTTTCTTTTTTAATAAATCTGCAAAAATGTCAAAAATTCTGTGTTTTTCTGTCAATATGGGGTGCTGTGTGTACATTAATGAGGAAAAAAATGAACTTAAATGATTTTAGCATATGGCTGCAATATAACAAAGAGTGAACATTTTAAGGGGGTCTGAATACTTTCCATACCCACTGTACATATATGTAAAATGTAGTGGAGTAAAAATACAATATTTCCTTTGAAATGTAGTGAAGGAGCTTCGAATGGAAATACTCAAGTCAAGTACAAGTTTATCAAAGTTTTACTTACAGTAACTGTACCTTGTAAATGTTTGCAGCTGTATATAGCCAAATAAAGAGTCAACTATTGATCTATTTCAGTATTTAACAAGTAAGAGATGACATTTGTCTCTGTTCATGTCAGCTGATCTGTGATCAAGCAAAGTGATTTATAACATACACATTTTATTAATTGTCTTGTTATAGGCATGCTATGAAACATTTAAAATACAAACATTAGATTAAACAGAGCAAAAGTTCCCAGCATGATATTTTTCATGATTTAGCTGAACAAACATTCAGTGTTGCCACTATATAATCTTGTACCTACCTTTCCCCCGCAGAAAACACAGTGAAAACCCAAATCCACAGCTGTTTTCATTGAGACTGAGAGAAGTTTCTCTTTGATGGGAGAATGTAAATGTGTCATTTATACCTGTCTTGTCTTATATCATGATAAAGCAGTTCATACTCTGGGAAGAGGGAAAAAGAGAAATGCAAGCAGTAGCTTCATTCATCGCCTGTCCTGTTTCATTCACATGCTTGTGATTCTCTATCATGCTCCTCTCAGCAGCCGTCAAGAGGCCAGCTAACATTGAAACAAATCTCTCATATTCTGCTTTTTGATTTCATTCTTTCTCCCTGTCGTTTCTCCTATTAGCTTATTCATTCTTCACATGTGACTGCCAGCCTGTTAAGGTCATATTAAACCAAAGCAATCCACTTTAAATGGTTATCTACAACGCACATTATAAAGCTCTTTGCTGCCCTTTAAATATTGTGATTGGGTTATAGTGGGGGGTTGCTGTTTCGGAGCGCTGATCGCTCTCCCAGGAGCCTGCTTCAGAATATAAATTGAGTAATATTATAAAGGCGGGCACTCCAGAAGGACTGGGTAATGAATAGGATTCATGATCTGAGGAGGAACAGGAGGTCATGCAATGAAGTGAAATACTCTAATAACTCCAATCCAAACCCACTCAGATGATGATACATTAACTGAGAGACCCTTGTATTCCTGTTTCTCTCTCTTTCTCTCTCTGGTGCTGGACTATACAAGGTTTACAACTATGCCAAAAGCACTTGATGTGAAAAAAGAGGAACCTGATCCAGGTGGTAGTGACTATTTCACATTCTAATTTTGACCTTAATGTCATTGATAGTAGGGAGTCAGATCAAATCTCTGCAAATCTTATAATCTGCAAAGGAATTTTAAAAAAGCAGATTTGTATTGTATTAATTGTGCAACTTCATGATCTTCCACAAACGTCTCAAGGAATGTACCAGGCAGATCAGTCAACAGATTGCTCCCACTGAAGGCCTAAATACAAGATTTTAGCTGTAATCCCCCTGCGATTATGATTTTTTTCTGCAAAGAATTACATCCATCATCTTACATAGTAAGCTGTGTTTATTTGAGGTGGCCAGTGGTTAGTTTTGCATGTTATCCCTTCAGATAAAGACAAATTTAATAGTTGCTATCATTCGCCTCGTGCCTCTCGCTTGCACCTGAAGATGACTGATTTCATGTTATTTAACTGGGATTAACATTAAAGCTCTGCTCCCTAGTCATAACTTATCAAAAGATACTCAGTGAGCTTGTGAGTGACTCAGAATAATGTTTCTTTATATATTTATTTTATCCTTGAAGGAGAGTTCTTTTCTCTAGCTATGAGAGCCGTTTCTAATGTCACCCTCATGTTCTTTTTTTTTGTTCTTTTTTTCACACACGGGTAAACATTTAGATCATGATTTTAATAGAAGCCAGTAGGGTTTCCCTCTGTCAGAGGATGTTGATGGAGTGGATAGGAGTGTTGGAATGAGTTGGGCTTCTTGCAATCAGCCATTGGGAAAATGGTTAATTCCACTTGTGATGACACCAGCCCGGCAAGCACAACAGTTGTCGAGTGCTGAGACTGACCAGTAATGACTGAAAGAATGGACAGAGACTAGAGAAGGTGTGTGTGTGTGTGTGTGTCTATGTGGAAAGGAGTAGGGACAGAGAGAAAAAGGCTGAGACAAGATAGAGGAGTCAGTAAAAGAGACATTAGTAAAGTATGAGAGTAAGAGAAAGAAGGAGCAAGAGAGACACAGCTGCTTCTACACAATCACTTTTCAGTATCTACAGTCCCAGGCCAAAATACCATTAATACAAGTGTCAGAGGAGTCAGTGGAATCAGGCACAAGCGCAATGGCTTTGAGTGGCTTGAGAAGAAAATGGCCGGGATCCTTTGGGGGACAGGCCTGTCCGAGACAACCGTCCATTCTTTTGGCCCCTTTTGTGACGCTGCCTCTTTCCGTTCTCCTCCTTTAATTTTGTGAGAAGATTAAATTGCACGTGATCTCTAACGTCTCCGGTCCTCCGCTTGCCGTAGGTCAACGACCTCCATGCGGCTCAGATAATAGATACATCCTCTGTTTGTCTTGTGCTGAAATGCTCGTCCGCCACAGTCCAGTAACCCGCCATTGTCACACAGTCTGAAGCAATTAAGTAAAATGGTGGATAAAGCCTCAGTGTGTCCTTTCAATATTTATTACATCCTCTTTGTAAAAAGAGCTATTTAGTCGCTGTATCTAAAATGATCACTAATGCAATTACAACTGCACTTAGAATACACATTAAGGGTAATCTTCAGCCCTTAGAGAGGACTCCAATGCTCCAATGTGTGGAGATAACAGAAGAAACTTACAAAGGATGTCACATGTCTGTGAATAACAACTGCAATATGAAGCAAAACGCATGATGAAAGTGGTTCACATCAGCATTTCTTCTTATGTTTAAAGTTATCTGTACAATAAATGATCAATTATTTCTTAATTTTTCTCTTTCTGTCCTTATATTGTCTATCATATAGGATGAGCAGTACCTTCACGTCTCTGTACTGCTGCTCTTTGAGCAAAGCACCTTTGTTTCTTTGTCGGTTCAGACATGCTGGTTGTAACTCTCCTGCTCTCTGTTTCAGACAAATCAAAAGTACAACACATTGTCTTGATATGTGTTGTGGTCCACTGTGAAGAAGTTTGGTTTGTGCAATGAAAGAGTAGAGTTTGAAATTTTCAAACATGAAAGTAGGGATGGCGAATCAGCCAGGAAAGGGTGCTTTTCAGCAGGCTTACTAATAATAAGTCTATAGTTACAACACATGTAGTTAGCTAGATAGCCACAGACTTAATTAAAACCCATAAATTAGATGTGTGCTGTGCTTGTGGAGAAATTAACAACAT